CCAATACTCTTCCTCTCCTGCTTCTTCGAAGTCCAATTTTCACTTGCAGACAGCATCTCAGGGAATCCAAGTCTGATCTTTGTAGGTATAGACACATCACGGCATTTGAATATCTTTTCGAAAGCCTTCATGGCTGCTGTATCAAGTGCGAGTCTGCGGTGTATTTCTTGGCTGCTGGTTCCTTTATTATTGATGGTTGATCCTAAAAGACAGAAGCTCTCCACCACTGTGATATCTTAATTGCCCATTCTAAGGCTGTTTGTTCTACCTGGTATCAGTATTTTAGTTTTCTTCATTTTTAATTTTAGTCCCATTTTTTCACTGTGCTCCTCAACTTTTGTTATTAAAGCTTGAAGATTTTGCATTTTTGGCTATCAGGGTAGTGTCATCAGCATACTGCAGGTTATTGATGTTTCTTCCTCCAGTTTTAAAACCACGCTCATCTTCTTCCAATCCAGCTTCCCTTAATATATATTTTGGTTATAAGGTGAATAAATAAGGGGAGAGTATACAGCCTTATCCTACTCCTTTGCTGACCTGGAGCTCATCTGTTTCACCGCGTTCTGTCTGGACTGGCTTCCTGACCTATGTGTAGATTTTGCATGCGGGCAATGAGATGTTCTGGGATTCCCATATTTCTAAGCACATTCCACAGCTTGACATGTTTGACACAATCAAAGGCAATGAAGCACATACAGGCTTCTTTTCTGTATTCTTTAGCTTTCTCAATTACCCTGCAGGCATCATCAATAATGTTTCTCATTCATTCAGTATCTGGCATCTTCCTTTCCATATAGGGCTCTAATCTGCATTGGATGGCCCTGTTTCTTTGGTAGCATGTGAAATTAAGGGTATGGAATGACAGTTTGTGTGCCCTGTTAAGTCTCTTTTCCTTGGTATTGCATGTAGACTGTTGACTGTTCTGTTGTTCTGCTGATTTACTGGCATAATTTGATTAGAATCTTTACAGATTCTTCTGTTGCTTGCCATATTTCTCTAGACATTCTATCAATTCCTGTAGTCTTCTGATTTAGTAATGAATGGAATGCTGATGTAACTTCATCTTATGGCACTAGATGTATTCTAAGTAGGGAATATTTTCTAGGATGTTGGATGTTTCTTGGATGTTGATATTTCTATTGTACAGAATGTCAATATACTCCTTCCTTTGGTGTTTCTAGTATAAAGACATTGTATAGTAAATCTGGTTGACTTGTCAACTTTTTGGAGCATCTCTACAATGCCATCAGAATGTGTCCTACAAGATTTCATTGGAACCATCATTCTGTGAAGGTGCCTAGGATCGCTTTCAAATGATTTTCATCATTCTTGCTCTAAATAAATAAATGATCCATGGAGATCAGGGGTACATATGCTGGAAAATATGCTGTTTATCTTCTCTATCGGTTCATATTTAAGTGTGTATTTTGATTATGCTATTTTTACATAAGAAAGAAATTTGGTAAGAAGTTCACGGTATATTTGTTTATTTTAGGACTGAAGAAGTTCTAAGATGGATACCACAGTCGCGCACTGTTCTTACCATCCTTCACAGTTGGATAAGACTATTTATTATATCTTGACTGAAAACTATCATTATGGCAGCAAGCTTTTTCAGGCAGGGAGTATGTGTTATTTGAAAGAACACATATACCTGCAGCACATTAGCAGAATATCCACTCGCATGTGGAGGTTTGTCATGGAAGAAGATGGTTCTGTGGTTACAATGGATGTTGAAAGTCTGCAGCCGCTAAATGAGAGGATGGCTGACTTCCTTTTGGCCATTAGCGATGTTCAGGAACGCTTGAACTGTTTTCTGGACAGGCAAGTTCTAGATGCTGCCATGAAGGCTGAACAAGGTCAACAGGTCTTGGTAGATCTGGATGATCAGATTTTCCCTGCTACCATCTGCTATATCGGAAAATTTCACAAGAGCCCTTTACCATCAGGGGCCTATCCAATTTACTTTGGAGTGAAACTGCAGGTAAGACAGGTTAAAAAGGATGTTTTTTTTCTGTGCCAGAATGTGACCAAGTAGTAAGCTTAACCTGTTATATGCAGACCTGTCTCTTCATCACCTGGAGTTGATAGGGCTATATGATGAGTTTTTAACTTAAGCATTAATAGAAAAATAGTCTGTTTTGGAGTGTGGAAATTTAAAACTAGCAATACCTTATATTTTGGGCTTTATTCTGTTGAATATTTGTTGTATGAATCTGGATCTGGTAAAGAATATCATAGTGATATAGTCTGCCGCACTATCAGGTTCTGTGGACTCCTCTGAAGGGTTTCTGTGTTAGTGTTCACAGCTGCTGCTCTTTAGAACAGAAAGGGACTTAAGCCATGCCGCTGAGACTTTCCTGATTGGGTCCCTGGCTGAGGATATAACAACATCTGTCTGCTATTTCTTCAGGGTGATGGTGAAGGCAAGGGCCACTGCGCTGGCACCTACAACGGGACAGAATACTTCAAGTGTAAACCGAGGTGCGGCCTTTTCCTGCCATTTAACAAGCTGCAGTTTCTGCCAGCATCAGAGAATGACAAGGTGGAGGAGAAGGCAGAACAGAAGGTTGAGGGAATCATGCCGGTGAAAATGGGGGATACCGTCGGCTTTTATCTAGATGATACCTATACACGAGGAATAGCATTGGAAGTGTATAAGAAAGGAAATGACTGGATGGTTAAAGTGTGTCCGGTAAGAAGGTCTAGAAGAGGAATTAATTCCTGAAGGTTCAGAAGGGGGCCGTGTTAAAGGAGGGGGCCGTGGCATAGGTGGTTCCATGCCAGCTTTTAACTGGGGAAGTGGACAGAATGGCATTCTAAGTGGGTAGCTTGACTGAGCTTCACTTTTGCTTCACTTGTCAAATACTTCAGTGGATATTGTAGAGCAGGCAGGCTAAGCAAGGCCTCTGCTTGAAGTCCTGGAAAGCTGCTTCATCTGCCTTATCAGCTGCAGTGATTTAGAACAGCCTTTTCTGTATTAGCTGTGTTGCTGAGAATTGTGGGAGTTGTAGTCCTAACTCACTGGGCTAATTGGGCTAATTTGGGGGTTCCGTAAATGCCATTGAGGGGCTCCATAAAGGTTGTGTTGCTAACTGCAGGGTTCTCCAAAATGTTGTTAGTCACGTCACCAGTCTTTTCATAAGATATAGGTTTCCAGCATTCCTCTTGAACTGATAAACTCCCCTGAATCCTTTGTGATGTTCTGGGCTTCCTTTGTAGACAAGCAAGGATGGTCTCTGAATATGTACTTGTATTTTTCTGAAAGGAAAGCTATTTCCTCCAACTAATGTTATTTTAAAATAAGAGAGTTGTCTTAGATTATCCAAGAATAAAATATAGAGGCAAATGTTATCCAAACTACCTTTGGGGTAAAGAGGGTTTCATTTCCCATAAATACAGGATGATCTTGTTTTTGATTAATATACTAGATAGAAATAGTAGTATATACTATTATTAATAGTATATACTAATAGTAGAATAATAGAAAACTGTCTTCCTGAAAGCTGACATTTTAAAAACAATCCTCTAGAGTAGAAATGGGCAAAGGTTGGGCTGAAACTCCCATTATAACTTGCCATTGACCACACTGGGCTATTAAGGTTTGGAATCCAGTGGCATAAGGAAGGTGACACATTGTCTGTGTCTTTTGTGGTGTAAATTCTTCAGAATGAGTGATGCTTTTGTAGAATACCCACAGCTGTCACATGTGGGAAGAAAGGAGAAGAGTTACTCCACAATTGTCCCTCATGCTTAGGCCTTAAAATCCAGTTAAGCTTTCCTTCTCTCCTTTTTTAGGAGGAAGAAGGCTCGACAGATGTTTTCCGAGATATCCCTCTGGATTCGGTGGTGAAGGAGGAGCTGCTATCCTTAGGTAAATGGGCATTCTGGACAGCCTTGGAGTTTTACTGTCCCGTGTCTGGAGGGTGGCTGAGGGACAAGCAGTCATTTCGGTTCCCCTGCAGGACAGTGGTGTGAATTTGAATAGCTGCTCCTTAAAAGTGCATGTGCCCAGGCCACACATGTACATGTGACCATTTCCACGAATTTCTTTGATTGTGACAAGGCGGCTGCAACTTGCTTAGTTCTCTTCCCCATTGAAGCCAAATGAAGGTGATGACACAAAGAGCACCCCTTTGAGAGCCTTATTTATTGGGGGGGAAAGAGAAAGTGAGAAGAGCCCTTGTTGTTTGAGCAAAAACAAGATTTTCTATAATGTCTGCACTTATTTGGTAGATGTGCTGCTGAAGCAAAAGTCTGGCATTACAGATAAAATGCAGAGTTAAAAATTCTCAAAAAGACTTGCTCAGTTTATTAGAACCACTCCTGGTGAGTTCATGGATACAACCATGTGGTTTTCTTGGTAATAGTTTGTTGTTGCCTTCTTTGAGACAACAAGAAGAGTTGTTTTTCACTTCCTAGTCCTGGGATTTTCTTACAGTTTCCCACCCAAGAACTAACCAGGTCTGTCCTGGTTCAGTTTGCCTATTGGGTGAAAACTTGATAGTATTTCTTTACTAGCAGAAAAGGAGGTGCTTGTCAATGTGTAGAGAAGAGTTAATTTGAAAGTGAGACTCAGTTGGATCTTATGTTATCAAAGGGATTATTCCAAATAGTCAAATACAGCAGAGCAGGATGATAGCTGAAGCTCTACCAGACACACCTGTTCCTATCTGGGCTGGCAAAGCATTATCAAATAGGAATTAAAATGTTCATCAGAGATAAAAGACAGGCATTGCTTTTCTATATTTGACACAGACACGGATTCTGGGCTCCAGGAATATCTCAAGTGTAAGAGAAGCGAGAGTACAGAGAATCTGGAAAACAAGACCCGCTCCCTTGATGTGAACTCTGTGGTCCAGATCAACTTAGACAAGGGAAATGCTGTGACAGGGACTATCCGCTGGATTGGCTGCCTGCCTAAAACCCAGCAGAAAATGGCTGGAGTTGAGTTGGTAAGAATCCTTTGTACCACCCCTGGACTCGCTCTCTTTGATGTGCGCTTTAGCCCCAGGCTTTAGCAAGATCAGGAACCTGAACACAAAACTATGCACGTGGACGCCTACAGAATAGAAACTTGTACTCATTCTCGGCAGCTGGGCCCACCAGTGCCAGAGCCCTTGAAGATGAAATGGATCGTTGCTCTCGGTGGATTCTCTACTGATCTTTCTGGAGCCAGCAGGCATTTGTGGGCTGCTGATCAAAGGTCAGAGAGGATAGTTTTGGCATGACTGCTTGGGGCTGTTGCTTTGTGGTTTCTTCTGTCCCAGGGGGTGGTAATGAGGAAGCTTGCATTAAAGTGCTCATTGTCCCTTGATTCAAATCTGACCTGACCACGCTCTTCCTTCTCACCAGCCATGATAAATCTTGCCCAAGAGGTATCCCAGTAGCCTTCCAATCCTGTTGGACCTTCTTGGCTGAGAAATGTTATCTTCCCTGACAGGACGAAGAGAAGGGTCTTTCAGATGGGGAGTGGCAAGGTATGCGCTACTTCACCTGCCCTCCCAAACGGGCCCTTTTTGTGAGGCTGGAGTCGTGCCAACCAGACTCGCGTTTCCAGGGGAACAAGGGCCTCTTCCTGGAGTCCTCTGCATTCAGTAAGTCCCTTCCCTGCGGTGGCTGTACGTGGAGTCCGCAGAGCCCTCAGCGGCCATCAGCCTGAACCCTTGGTCTGTGCAAGAATGCAAGTTAAAGTGTCTCTAACGGATGGCTCTTTAACCTCTGCCTGAATGTGCCCGGGGAGAGAGAGCCCGCCCTCTCTCTGGATGAGGGTGACAACCTCAGCCAGGAGGAATGAGAAACTCGTGACTCTGGGAGGCGGCGGGTGGGCAGAAGACTTCCTGCCAGTGGAAAAGCCACCTGCCTCTAAACTCTGTAGAGCTTCACAGCCTCAAACTGAAATACAACTTTTAATGTGATTTCAGTTATGCCATAACTCCGCTGGAAGTAAATCATCTTAGCTGCCAAACAAAGATGATGGGGTGAGATTGTGCAGAGATCAGATCCATAGCTGATTCTGGAGCATGTCAGAATCCTAGAGGTGGAAGGGGTCCTTGAGGCCCTGAAGCCCAACCCTCTGCTCATTGCAGAATCCAAAATAAAGCACTCCCAAACAGATGGTTCTTCTTGAAGACGTCCAGTAATGGTGAGCGTACCACCTCCCTTAGTAAATGTCGCACTGCATCAAAAGGTTTTCTGAACATGCAACTGAAATCTGCCTTCCTGTAACTCCAGACCATCAGGGCATGCATCTCAAGAGTAGAAAGTTACATCATCATCATCATCATCATCATTTGAACAGGGAATACTGCTCTGTTTCAGGTGATGTGAATAGTCCAGCTGTTCTGAGCAACTCCCCTCCCCTGAGAAATGATGTGGCTGTGAATGTCCTCAAAGGGCGGATGAGGGGGATCCAGGGCCACTGTAACTCCTGCTACATGGACGCTGCCCTTTTCAGGTGGGCAGTGCTACCGACCTTCCTTCCGCCTGCAGGTGGAGGCACCACCCTTTTGGAATCTGGTTGCTTATATCATTGCTTTCGATTCCCTCTGCCTTTTTCCCCCCTAAAACTCACTGTCCTCCACTCTAATGCGTGGCTGCCAGCCCAGTGGAGTGACTGGCACTTCCTCTCTCGCCACAGCCTCTTCTCCTGCACCTCGGTGCTGGATTCCATGCTGTACAAGCCTCCTCTCCCTGCTGATGGGCACATCCAGGAGATCCTCCGGGACAAGATAGTCAACCCACTGAGACAGTAAGTTGCTCTCTGCATCTTCTGATCAGCTGCTTCAGAAACCCTCTGCTGGACGTGTCTCTATATTTTGCACTTCCACTCCTGTTCTTGTAAAAATGACCTTCAGTATCGTGTGTTAAATTCTGCAAGGAGCATCCATTTTAAAATAGCCACAAGAAGCTCAAGTTCCTACCCTCTGCATCTGGGAGGGTAGACCTGAAAGGTACCTGGGGAAATAGCAGTTGGACCAGGCTTGGCATGGATTTTAGTGGCTTAAATTGGTAGCTGTATGTTTCTTTTCGTCCACCTTTCAGAAGCAGAATAAATTGGGCTAAGGCATGGGATGCAAAGAGCTGGGGTTTTGGAGACCCAGTGTGCAGATAATGCCCCCAAGAACTTAGTTTTTGATTGCTTCCTGAGGTTTTTTTTTTGCCTGTGTCGTAAACAGGAAGGGCTTTGTTGCTGCCAAGAGTGTAATGGATCTTCGGTACCAGCTGACTGAAAAAGGACAGTCCTCCAGTTTTGTCACTTCGGAGAAAGGTGCTGTTTTTTCTCTCCTGTGTTTTGCGTCATGATGCAGATTGCTGATCTGCCCAGGGATCCTGATTTCAGAACTGGACCTGGAAGTCCTTGAAGATGGGCCTGGATTCCCAAGATAACTGAGTGCGATTTTTCTGGGGATGATGGGATGAGGGATAGAGAGATATTATCAGCTGGATTCCTGTGTTAAACAGTGGTTTGATTATCTGTGTTTTATTAAATAAACTAGAACTGGCTGGATTGGACAAGATACTGAGCCAGAGCCAAAGAAAATACTTCATTTTTGGAGAAAGGGCAATGAATTTTTAAAATCCCCTTAGTTCCGTGCATTACTACAGAACGTGAAGTTAAAAATCCTCATGCCTGTGCGTGATCCTTTCTTTTATGGTTAAATCACCACTTGGCGATCCCCCCTCGCCAGCAGAGCATAAGGAAGGTTTCATGGGGCGAGTGCTTATTCGGAGAAGGGTTTGGGCTGTGGCTGCGGCATTGTGTGTTCTCCATGGAGGGAGGGGGCAAGGGGGTCATCTGGTGCGGCATCTGACCTGGCATGCCCTCTGCTCTTTCAGACCCCGAGGAGTTTCTGAATCTCATTATGCATCGCATTCTTGGACTAGAGCCGCTTTTGAAACTGCAGTAAGTTTATCCCACCAGCATCCCATCCCCACCTGGGTGGTTTTGAAGAGAAGAAAAAGTAGCACTGAAGGGACCTCATCTCCTTTGAGATGCGGCCTAGTGGTAGGCGCTGACTGAGATGCTGGATGGCACCTGGCGAGAGATCCCTCTCAAGCAAGGAGGGGGAAGGAAGGCCCCGCCTAGGCCTGGGCAGGGCTGAGAAGGGGCTTAAAGGTGGCTTTTTCTCTAAGCAGAACATTGCCAGAAGGCGGTTGAAAGGACATGGTGCCAATTGAGTCCCCTGAGTTGCTTGTGAAGTAATATTCCGATTTTCAAGGGTGACCTGATGGTGGTAACTTGAAGCCTCAGGGAGCAGAAGTCATTTAAGGCGAAACCTGCGTGTCCAGGTCCCTGCACGACATTTTGGAAAGAGGTTGTGTAGATAAACCCCACGCAGGCTCAGGAGGGAGAAGATATCTTCCTCCGGGCTCCGTCCCTGCCAGCGTTGGCGCTTCTTGGACGGAAAGGGAAGCACCTGCACGCGGCAGCTTCTCTCCGCGTAGCTGAAACTGCAGCGGTTCTTTCGGTTCCTCCTTGGCAGGTGGGCCAGAGCAGGTGGCTCACCACAGAGCTTTTGTTTTCAGGTCTGGAAGACTGAAAGAGCAGGAGTGCTACTGCTACCAGATATTCATGGACAAGCAGGAGAATCTGGTGGTGCCCAACGTACAGCAGCTAGTTGAGCATTCCTTCCTCACATCAGACCTCAAACTGGTGGAGGTGAGTTATTCAGGGGTCCTCTGTCTCCTCTTCCTCCTCCTTGGTCAGTGCTGCTGGTCTCTGCAGCAGGGGTGGAGAGCTTGTTGCCGGCTTTCTTCGCCCTGCCTGCAAAGGCTTCTGGGAGTTGCCTTCGGTAGCCCCTGCGGGGTCCCTTGTTGACCTGGGTTTTCACTGGAGGGTGGATTGGCCTGGGTTTTCACTGGAGGGTGGATTG